TTAAAACGTTACATTTTTCTCAAACTCTCTGTCTCTTTGACTAGTCAGAAAACATTCAGCATTTTCTGAGACGATTATCTACAGGTAGCTACAGCTAAGGAAACCTCCTGCAATTCAAAGTAATTGGTTATTTCATAAATCAGCAGCATGATGTGTGTTACTTAAAACAGCTTGCGGTCAATAATCATAATAAATATATTTTCTCCTAATAGTTTGCATGAGGCATGTATTGGGATCTGTATTGTTGAAACCATGGGATAGACTGGGATATGTACTTATAGAGAGGTAAACATTTTGGAAAACATATTTTTTTTGTGAAGAAAAGTGCAATAAAGTGAAGAATTAATAAAGGAACACATATATGGTTATTCACTAAAGTGAGAATGGTCAGGAATTCAAAGTTCATTTAAAATTTAAGGCCAAGATAGCTGAATTGACTAACATTTGAAATTTATTTTGAATTCACTTTAAATTCCTGATTTCTCTAAATAAATATTAATAACCATGAAATGTAACGTCCAGATATTTGGAAATGTCTTCAGAACATGAAGATGGCATTACTTTCCCTAACACATTTCCTTGTTTTGTATCTTTTATATTACATTACATTTTTATACTAGGGTAAGTGTGTTCAGAAATTAGAGTTCAGGTAGGAGCTAAGGTAGTATTCAGGTTGGTGTAAAAGTTAATGTTATGTCTAGGGGTAGTGATAGGTCAGTGAAGGGTTAAGGGTAAGAGGTTGTATATCTTAGGGTAGTGTATGTGTTTTGGATAGTTAGGGTAGTAGAAATTTTAGGGTAGTATGGGATTATGGAGATGCATTTACTATTAGGGCGGCATCAAGGTTTGAGGAAGTTACAATCCCAGCTGGCAGGTATTTAAGCTAAGTTAAAATAACAGCAACTACTGCTCTGGAGAGTAACTCCCAAGTGCAGGCAATCCAGGATTCGTAAGTATGAGTTCTACATGAAATTAGGGCCCCCTGAACTGCATTGAGGTGAACTGTGCATTATTGTTTGTTTAGGATGGAGAATAATTGCACAGTAGACATGGTCATCTGAACATCTGTGCGCTATAGAGTTATAAAGTGATCTGCCTGTTACATTTGACTACAAACTTACATATACTGGGCTATGGTATTACCAAACACACATTACCGGTGATCCATTTTACCTTTTTTAAATGTTGTTCCTAAAATATGAATAACTCTTCTTTTTTTTATCAGAATCTATTGTATACTACAGCATCCCTTTTCTCTCGTCACTCACCATATCTGAGAGATACAAAAAGCCAAAGCTGTCACTGTAAATCATTTAATTCCTACAACTTTAACGAGATAATATGCTTTAAAAATAATTTTTCAAATAATATAGCAATATTGAGTTTTTTTTATCTTGTCATAATTTTGTAATCTTTCCTAACTTGACAAAACATTGATAAATAGACAGTAACGACATCTGTGACCTAGGGTACAACTGAAAACAAGAGAAAATACTACTAAGCTTGTAAATATAACAGCAACCTCTGGCACTAAAAAGATTAATATTTGCAAAATTACTGTGGAAAAATGTTTTGTATCACATTCTGAGCTGAGGAATAAATGATCTGCTTAGTAGACCATTATTGAACTGCTAGTCAGTATCTTGGATGAAATACTAAAAACTTAATGACAAACTGAGCTTCATCCAGTTTGCATGTTTTTAATTATGACCGGCTGGTGTTTATAGGTTGGTTGCCAGTAAATGCGTCCAAAAAACACAATAGTAAATGGATCACAGAATTTTTGGCTTTTAGTAGTTGTCAATTAGGAAGGAAATTATACATTTTTACATTATGTGAGTGTCTTAAAGTTAAAAGCTCACTCCACCTCTTAAAACCCAGTACTCCCTTTTTAATCATATTGCAACAATCTTAACAATGGTCCTTTTCAGATGATAACATGAACATCAGTGATACAACATGAATGTTTTTAGTGTAATAACTTGTAAGTAAGTGTGAAGTATACAAGGAAAGCTTAATGCATAAGCAAATACACCTCTGGCACACTATGTAAATATACACGGACATACCACACTTAGTAAAATCTTGTTTGTGTACATACATGTAGAATACTGTCATGTTACCTGTGGTGGGTACTGCATCTCGGTTTCACTCTGCTTTGCTTACTGATGACATGCATCATTCTAATGTCCTTTCTTAACTCATCTCTGGATGCATCTTATGACTGTAATAGGCTGTGTCACTTTTTGTAGTCTGAGAACAATATGTCAATCATCATGGTGTCATCAAGCACTCATGTTCTTTTATCAAATGTGTTGCTGACCAATAGTCTTTCACTAAGACCTCAGGGTCACAACAGTGTTTTCATGCTTGAGAGTGCTTTCATTTAATTTTTAATCTTTTCTGATCTTGATTTTGGTTTGTTATTTCCCATTTTCTGATTTCTGTAATCCTGATCTAAGCTTGTCTCTCTTCATATACTCCTTAAACCTTATCATTCATTCTCTGTCTGCCTGAAGCCTGTTTTGTCAATCTTGGCACTTTGTTCTACAGACTGCTATATGGAACTATACTTATCCACTACTCTAGCTTCACTTAGGTTTACATGCTAGGTTTAGGATAGTCTTGACACAGGCAAATACAGCCAAATACACTGCACATAAATACATGCACTGATACTCTGCACAAATATATGGCATAATTTACACATATTTAAAGTACTCACATTGACATACTACAAAAATAAATCATTGTGTTTGCACATGTACATAGAAACTCCATATATGTAATCTCCGCATTCATGCCCACAGTGAAAGTACACAAATATACAACTGAATTCTCAGCAATGTGTACTACTTAAACCATGATATGCAAATCTACCTGAATATGCAAATTATTGAGCTTTACTAGTCAGGTAGTGCACATAACTGTTTCAAGATCTTCAAAACCAACAGGTGGCGCTGTACAAATTTCACAGCCAAATCCACCTAGTGGATTACAAGGCATGCGATAAATAACATAACTATAATATGCACCCTGTACCCATAATGGGTACTAGGTAACTTGGGCATAAGAAACATCTGAGACAACATAAGAGGTGTCAATCATACAAAACCCACAGTTCCGTAACTCCCAACAGGAAACCCAGTCACACAAAATTCTAGCCCAAGGTGGATTACCTCTGGGGATAATAAAAGGCCAACATTTTCTGAAATAGCAGCCAGAGCGAAGGAGTTAATATGGTCCCAGTGAAAGTGACTACTGTTACATATCTCCCTATTCCAATGGAGACTAACCTGAGGGAGACTTTAAATTGGTTGACTCCCATGTTAGTCATTACTTTAATTTGTTAAACCCAAGACCAAAGCAATATTCAGAACAAAGTCACTTACCCAGCCAACCTTGTCATCTCCTGTATTTTGCATCTGCCACTGGGGAGGAATGCAAACTACACCTTCTGCTTTAAGTCTTATCAGCCGCTTAAGAAAATACGAAGTGGCCAGGATCTCTAAGGGTTGGGAATCTTGTCCGACTGCCAGCATCCTGGAATTACACTGACTTAGACTGTGGTCCCCTCCACCAATCCAGGACAATCACCACAAACCACATTGAGAGCTGAACGAGTAACCCAGCTGTTCTCATTATCTTCTGTAGTGGATATATGCCACTGGCAAGAAGTGTCAGCACTAACATCTGCTGGAAACTCCAACAGCTGCTTCCTCAACCTGGAGCTCCTCCTTCTGCTCAGGTGGGGTGCCACTTGCACCATTTCCATGGCACTTACTTGGCTACTGAGATAGCTCAATGGCCTAATGCATCATCAGTAGAATCTGTTTACACTTGGGGAGCAGGTTCAAATCCCAGCAGGGTTGACTCAGCCCTTTAGAGGTAAATAAAATGAGTACCATTAAATTGGGTAATTGGGCTAAGGTAACATCCCCAGGACGTACTTGAAAACCAGAGTAATCTGAATGTACCTTTCCTGGTTAATTACTTTGTTGTTGTTGTTATTATTATTACTGGGGAGGGAAGCAAACTACCTTCTCTCCCTTAACCTAACTCTGCCACTAGGGAGAGACGCCTCCTGCACCCTCTCCCTGAAAACACCCTGCTGTTGGGGAGGAAGCTTGACTACCTCCACTCCCTGCACCTTTGCACTGAAACTCATTCTTCCGCTGGGGAAAGAGGTTGACTAACTCCTCTCTCTGAATCTTACTCTTCTGCTGTGGAGGCAGGGCCGTCTTTAACATTGATTGGACACTGGGCAGGCATTTGTTTGGGCCCCCTGGATCCTGCCATCCCTCGCCCTCCCCCCACACTTTCACTCTCTGGCATGCAATCACGCCCTCCACCCCAACACAGTGGCAGAACTAATGTAGACAGGGCCCTGGTGCAAGACATTGTTTTGAGCCTTCCCTCTAGCGCAAGAGCAGAGAAAAGATAGATCCTCATCTGTTGTACAATTCCAACGATGCTATGTCCATTTTTGCAGGGCTGTATTTGTGAGCAGTGTTTGTGCATTTGAATGTGAGCATGTTGTTGTATACAGTATGTGTGTGCATGTAGGGTGTAGTATTGGTGTTTAAGTGTAGGGATGTGTTTCCATATACTTTTTGAGTTTGAATTCAGGGGTGTGTTTGTATGTAATGTGTGCAGGGGTGTGGTTGCATGTTGTGTTTGATTGCCGTGATGTATGAATGTCAACATTCACAGATATACATACACATTAGCACACTGATACATGCACACATCTGGACACACTGACAAAGACTGGCGTATACACACACAGCCACATACATAAATACACGTGCACACACAGAGATAAAAACACTGGCACATCCACACACAGAGATACACACTTACACACACTAACACAGATATATACACAAATACATATGTATTTGTGTGCAGTGTTGGCGTAGGAATGCTGGGATGTATGCATTGTCACACAGATGCACTCTCACACAAACAGTGATACACACAGGAACACAGATACACATGCAGTGGTGTATTTGTGTGCATTGTTAATGTTGGAATGCAGGGTTGTATTTGTGTGCAATGTTAGCTGGGATGTATGCATTGCCACACGCACAGATACACACTTACACATACTGACACTCATACACACACAGGTACATATACACAGACAAGCAGGTACACATACAAACTGACACATAGGTATACATACACACAGATACACATAAACACTGACACAAAAGGTACATGTACACTGACACAAACACAGCCATATAAACACACACTGACACAAACAGCCAGATACACACTTACACACACACAGTCAGATACAGACACACACACACACAGTCAGACACAAACACAGCCAGATACAATCACAGCCAGCCAGATACACACACACACACACACACAGTGAGATATACACACACACAGTCGGATACACACACACAGTGAGATATACACACACAGTCGGATACACACACACACAGTCAGATACACACACAGTCAGATACACACACATACAGCCAGATACACACACATACAGCCAGATACACAAACAGTCAGATACACACACACAGTCAGATACACACACACACAGTCAGATATACACACAGCCAGATACACATACAGCCAGATACACACACATACAGCCAGATACACATACACACATACAGCCAGATACACATACACACATACAGCCAGATACACATACACACATACAGCCAGATACACACACATACAGCCAGATACACATACACACATACAGCCAGATACACATACACATACACAGACACATAGAGCCAGATACACATACACACACACATACAGCCAGATACACATACACACATACAGCCAGATACACATACACACATACAGCCAGATACACACACATACAGCCAGATACACATACACACATACAGTCAGATATACACACATACAGCCAGATACACACACACAGCCAGATACACATACACACATACAGCCAGATACACACACACACACACATACAGCCAGATACACACACACACAACAGCCAGATACACACACACACATACAGCCAGATATACACACATACAGCCAGATACACATACACACATACAGCCAGATACACACACACAGCCAGATACACACACATACAGCCAGATACACACACATACAGCCAGATACACACACACACATACAGCCAGATACACATACACACATACAGCCAGATACACACACATACAGCCAGATACACACACACACATACAGCCAGATACACACACACACTGACACAAACACACACACACAGTCATATGAATTCACATAGTTTAGCCACCCTCCTTACCTCTACAGAAGTGTGGCTTCCCTGTGGTCCAGTGGGAGCTGGATGGCTGAGATTGATGGGAGTCTGCTTGTTATTGGTCTGTACCTCCTCCATGTATGTCTCCTCCTCCCCAGCGGCACTCTGTTAATTGGGAGGAAGTGACCTCACAACACTTCCTCCCAGCAGGCAGGAAGACCAAGGCCCGGTCTGCAGCTCTCTTAAAGGGCCGGGGGCCCCTGATTACCTCACCTGCTGCAGCCCACCGGGATATTTCTCAGTATCCCGGTGGGCTGTTCAGACCTGGCTGCAGGCAGGGGGCCCACAGGGCAGCTGCTTTGGGCCCCCCAGGAGCAACTGGGCCCAGGGCAGCTGCCCTGTTTGCCCCTTGTTAAAGACGGCCCTGTGTGGAGGGAGGCTGACTACGTTTTCTGGAGCTCATTCTGCTGCCTGTGAGAGTGGCCAAAAATGTCCTTACCCTGGCTCTGATTCTGCCAGTGCAGTACTATACCCCTTCTTCTGCTGCGGTAATGCCCACTCTAATTGCCTTAAGAGATAAACTGCATAGTCTGTAGGTCTCATATTGAGTCGTGGCAGTCACTCTTCCAACAACTTCAGCACAGCCAAATTAAGCTCCCCTCACTGCTTCTCTTGCCTGGTGATGATGGCCACCGCTACCTGGGTGGCTATTGTCACCAGGCAAGAGCAGCAGGGGTTGGGCCAGTAAATTGCTAGTATCTACCAAACCTTCCTCCAAACTCACCCTCCTCCAGCATGGTCCAAGCGGTGACTTTCTGTTTGGCTAAGAGGAGCACCTCTTGCTGCTCTTCTCAGCTGGCAATATAAGCCACTGCTTGGTGTATATCTGCTTCCAGCTGGTTAGGACTATACAGGGTCAGTCTCTCCTGAACCCTCGACCAGAATGTACCTTTCTTCAGCAAAGTTCCAGTGGTAGCTTGTAGTTTAGCTAATCTCAGCTTCCATCAAAGATGTCCCCTGCCTGCATAAACTGTAATTTGTAAGTCTACCTGAATTTTGAAATTAATTAACCTTGCTATTAGGTATGGACATTTACATTGCAAGCAAAATTGTTGAAGCAGGTAAAAAATCCACCTCAGCTTTGGATTCATTTCTCTTGTAGCAGGGTCCTTAGGCCAACATAACTATGGTGTATTAGTTATTTTATATTGTTCTTTTCCATCTTCTGTGTACAGTTGATATGCAGCTTCATCAGGCAATTTGAATATTTTAGTACATTTTCACAGTGGATGTGAGATAATCAGCTCAGTTGTAGAAATCTCTAATTCTGATTGGTTTAAAAAAATTTTTAGTAACTGTTTCTGATGCTTTAAAAATTATGATGAAATTTCAAAATGACCCCATCCAGAACCCAAGGTCAATATCATCTAAATAACGTGAATTTAAGCTTAGAAGCTTAGTTAGATCCAAATGAAAATACAAGACATTTTTGATGTCTAGAAAAAAACTTATTTTAGAATTCTCATCATATTCCGTGTCATCCTGTAGCAAGGTACAAATCATACATGAGCTTCATGATAAAGAACAAATTTATATTCTCCTGTACAAAATTACCTGAGGGCTCAAATCTTGGTTCATTCACTATAATGTTTTGGTAAAACATTTTAGAGCTATTTCTTCATCTGTTTTCAATTTTGTAACTGCTTCTTTGTAACTTAAAAATATTTGAAGAAACATTTTTTAAAAAGGTATATAGTTTCCAGCTAAAATGTCTGAAACAATTTAAAGATGAACATTCATTTATATCAACATTTTTAGGCAATGCAACCACTACAGCCCATTTTAGTGATTATTGTGCCAGGACCGCTCTGGAACCATTCATTTATAATCTGTCAAACTGCTTTAGAACCAAAACTTACCTGGAACCTTTTTTTCCTGATGTATCAAATCTAGAACTCTTGCACTCCAACTTAAAAATAAAGTGTATATGGACCATATTACAAATCCGAAGTGGATAGAATACATAGAATAGAGATATAACTCGCTCAATAAATAATCAAAGGACCATATATACAAATAAAAGATGTAAAGTGCAATGTCTGGACAATAGAGACTCAATGGTATAATGGGTGGGTGACTGGATGATACAGTGCATAATATGTATATAGTTATAAGATACACACATAACAATTGATAAAAACACTCTTTTCGAGTTTAGTAGGATTATAACAATGAATGGGGTCCGTCTTTACCAAAAGGTAACTGATGCCAGGGCCTCATCCTTAGTTCACCTTTGATTATTTATTGTGCGAGTTAAATCTCTATTCTATGTATTCTATCCACTGCGGACTTGTAATATGGTCCATATACACTTTATCACTCAGCACCTTAATACGTTTGCACTTTAAATCAGTATATACACACTCATCATTGCACTAAGTCTCTACCTAGTAGACTTTGCATTTTATACTTTTTACTTTATGTTTGAATATATTGTCCTTTGAGATCTACCACACAAGCTTAATCACTCCTGACAGTATGCAGTTCATGCACCTTGCACTTTAAATATGGTTCATAATCCACTTCATTTCATGCACTTTCAAAATTATGCACCTGATATCAGTTTATGCATAACCCAGCACTTAGAAATAATTAAGTGTATAATACACAATTGTGCACTTTAAACTTTTTTAATAGTTCATAACTTTCCACTTTTTACACTTCATTAGTTTTTAGATTATAGCAAAGTACCCACACATATTTGCCAATTTGTTTTATTAGATATATGTGCTCTGTTATTTTAAAGAGTTATGAAATCTAACATAATACAATCCCATAATAACATATTGTATAACTGATGTGCAGTGAATAGTGTATCAGTTTGTTTTAATTCTGGGTCTCTTTGATCGACGAAACCCAGTTGCCATGGTGAGGTAAATAGACCCACGTCATGAAGGAGACGGACCAATTATAGTAGAGAGAAGGTACTCTCACCACGGCCTCAGTACTCGAAGATATATCCAATAGCCGTAATGTTCTGCAGGTTTCTTTGGCAATGTGATGTCGCCGGCATACGTGATTGGTTGCAGCTGTTCTTCTGACAGAAAGGCATTTCTCACAATGGCGCACATGCACAGAGGCACCGGTCACACGCCAATCATCGAGAAAAATGGGAAACAGCTGATTAGGTGAGTGTTTATTGGATGTTTGTCCTATTTAAGCCTGTTACATTGTAGTACATGTTTTTGTGTGTCCTAACGAAAGCTCCGATCGAGAGCTGAAACGTTGACCCACCTGGATTAACTGTCAATAAATATATATATATATATATATATATATATATATATTTGTGGTCAGGGAAGAAGGCCGTATATATGTGGACCTATACCTCTAAACATTAGTCTAATATACTAAGTCGGTTGTAGTGTGCCGAAACCGACGAACGGGTCAGCCTGTAAATAAAGAGGGCCAACCAATTAATTGATTCCTTTTGTGGAGTGGTGGGTGGGGCAACAGGAAGTGACCAAGCACTGTCAGCAAGGTATGGAGGTAAGTAGCGGGTTTATATAGGCCGGTTGCAACCCCTCCCACAACTCCAGGCTCCGCCTTCCCATTTGTGGTCAGGGAAGAAGGCCGTATTTATGTGGACCTATACCTCTAAACATTAGTCTAATATACTAAGTCGGTTGTAGTGTGCCGAAACCGACGAACGGGTCAGCCTGTAAATAAAGAGGGCAAAAGAGAAGTATCAGTTCCACACTTAATACGTATACACATACATTATTACCCGAGCTTCCCTACTTTGCCAATTGTTTAAAAGCTTGTCTCAACTCTTTCTCAGGTTGAGGTATGTAACGGTAATATGAACTGGTACGTTTTGGCTGGAGGTTGATGTTGCCGCTCCGATACGAAAGGAGTGGCCTGTATATGCCGTGGGATCGTACCCGATTCTTGTACATAATAATCTCACGTATTTGACGAATTTTGATGTAGTCAGGGGTTGACTGTGTATTGTGAGGAGAGGAGCTTGTTTGGGTTGATAAGCCATACCTGCCATG